GTCGACGTCAGCCATCACCGCCGCCAGGAGCAGAGCGGTTGGCATGCGATAGGCTAGGGTTTTCTTCACGAAAGACTTTCATTTTTGTTCATCATTATGTTTTTTTTGCTCAACCCGGTCTAGTTTACAATTATACATATATTTTTTTTTTGGTAAATTTACGGCGTACGGGTGTTAGCATATGTTTGTAGATTAGCAGAGTATTGCCTTCGCGGAGCTTGTTTATTTAAATTTTCTTGTTGAATTTCCTACCTTAGGTATTTCCACGTTTTCACTCCTTCTTCCGGTTTTTATGATTAATTTTCACGTGCTGTTAATTCCTCTGTTCTTTTACCACGCGATAATTTCTTCTGTTAGTATAGATAGGGTTTTTTTAGGGGATTTGGGTGTCCGCGCATATTTCATAAAAATTCACTCGACATTATTTGCCTATATTTATTTGCCATTTCGCCTTTAATGAACACTTTGAGAAGAAAATTCGATTTCAGCAACGTGATCTATTTTCATTGCGTTTTGGTTTTTTTTCTGTCTTTTTCGCGCACATCCGTATGTTAAATTTCGTTTTTTTCATTTTTCTTCTTAAGTTTTGGTTGACCCGCTCGATGCCCGCCACCACGAGCGAATGAATCGAGCTGGGCTAACATCAAAATCTCAGTACTTCAGTGTGGGCATAGGAATGTATGTACACATAAATATATGTAAATGTTGTAGTTAAGCTTTCCCCCACACAGGTTCTCATCAGCGGGCTGGTACCAACGTCGCTGGAGTGACCAGGTGAGTGCACTTCTTTTTTTTTGCTTGTTATTGCATATGTGCATACACACATATATATTTGCATACATAATTGCCTGCATATGAATTTCTGAATTGGCGTGTCTGCATGTATGTACATACTGATTCATATATATTTATATGTATTACCTAGGCTTAGTTCGAGCCTGAAAGTGCGTTTTCTTGGATATTTACTCATTTGGTGTATACATACATATAGACGCATATGTTCAATTGATCATAGACCTATAC